TAGACCATCCTCTATTTAGGAATGATCCCCAGAGCATACAAAAACTGGGATGCAGTTGTGGCTTATCACCCTGGGCAGTGCCCAACCCCGGGACAGCATCGCATGTCAGCATAATGGAGCTTGGACAAAGCCATGATGGATTTTTTCCATTGCTTACCTGTGGCTGCATATGCCAAAAAGCAAAGTGCAAAGGCAGACACTTCGGAGGGGATTGTGAGGCTGCTTTTCTGTGCCATCTCTGAGGAGCCCAGGTGATGTCTACTGAAGAGGGAGTTGGAGTGTCGCTGCTCCTGCTCACATATCGCAGAGGGATTAATCACTTGCTGCCATCAGACATCCTGAGGAGAGCCCTCACAGGTGACGGGACAGGTTCACCAGGGAATAAACCAGGCCAATTTGTTTCAGATCTTTTCCAGTTCAGAATAGAATCAAGGGGATTTTACCTATCTAATCTCTGCTGCGCGAGTTCTTTGTCTCTACCTGCCTTTCTGTCAGGGGAACCCGTCTCTGGGGAGCGTAGCGCTGGACTTACCGTGGGAAGAGTCTCTGGAGAGGTGTTTGCTGCTAAGAAATGTACAGCGCTTTCCCCTGCTTGTTTATAAGGTCTGAATTTTAATGTTTTATGGTAGCTCAGTGAGAAGTGAGTCCATAAAATGGGTTCAAGGCCTCGTTCAATTCCTGGATTTCTGAGCTCCCAGAACACTGAAGAAAGGGATTTGCTGGGTTCTGCTGGCTGTTTTATGAGACTTGCTGAGGCAATGAGTAACTAATAAGAAAGATCCTGCATCAGCTATAGAAGCCTTCAACAAAAAATAACACCCTTTCAATTTCCGCTTTCTGAGTGTTCGTGGCCCTGTTTCAAGTCATAGGAATTTTATTCTGGAAGCAGAGTGAGGAGAAAATGGACTGATTCAGACTTTGAACTGCATATTGGCAGAGAGGAGTGCAGATTGTGTTCAGGAAATACCCCTCCAGCCTGTGTTGCTCTGCATCCTTCTACTCATCAGCCGTGGCCAGCTCCGTATCTCTGCAAAAACCAGCTATAAGACAGGGCATTGCTGGCCTTTGCTATTCCTAAATCCCTGCCCCAAGTCCAGTTCCTTCAGTCTGAGTTGCAGAGCCTCATCTGGCCAGGCTTTGATGAGCTAGAGACATTCACTCTTGTGGTTAGCTCAGTCCCTGGGCAACGCCAGTGTAAAGCGGGGGTCCTGCTTCATGCAGTGACAGCGGTGTGCATCAGCTAAGTGTGTCTGTGGGGGAGACAACTGAAGCACTCAGCTACAAGGAAAACAGTGTCTGCATTGCCCACTTATACTTGAACGGGATTGTGGTGAGATGTGATTGCAAACCATGGGGTCCTCACAGCCTCTAAAAAGCGTTCTCACTGCTCTCAGCGTGCCCACAAACACAGGGCACCTCCCTGGTCAAGAACTGGCTCAAAAGAACCATAAACAGCATTTCATGAGCAGAAAGGAAACCTGGGACATGTCCTCAGCATTTTCTTTGCTCATTCACGCGGTGGCTCACCACAGCAGAGCAGAGTTGGGGAAGTCAGAGCTCTTGCTCTCTGGCTGAGAGAATGCAGAGGGCACAGGAGCACGCAGCACTCTTTATTTGCAGGGTTGTTGCAAATATGGGACTTCTTTGAGTGTTTCTTAGTATGACATTTCTGTGTTCGTTGGTTCGCCTTTTAAACAAACAAGAGAGTCATTTTCACTTAAAAATGTATATATTTATGTGTACAAAAGCCTCTCAAAGAGACAGCCTGGATTATACCTTCTAGAAAACCAAAGTTTTAGAAATTAGTCTTCAGCTTTCACCGGACTTTTTACCTTTAAAATCAATTTAAGATAGAAATAAATTTAGCTTCTTCCACCTTTTTTAGGGAGTTATATGTTCTCTCCTTGTAACATTTGACTGAGTGCTTGCTTATAGTCCAGTACAAACTTTGATCAAAACGCTATTACTAGGAGTAGAGTGATCTTTGTGGTTTGGTATTACACTAAGTTGAAGTGGAGAGAGGTGCAAAGGAATGGGCAGGGAAATAGCTCACGTGCTCCTGCCAAGTTGGGCCCAAAGGCATGAGAGTTCTGGGAGTTTTCTGTTCACTCTGGTCACTGTGTTGCAATGATGCTATAAGAGAAGAAGGAGGTGTTTAGAGTAAGCAAAGAGGAAAGTAAAGAATGAAAGCGTGGAGGGTTTTTTTTTTTTAGTTTAGAAATGAGAGTAAGAGGAAAGAATGTCAGATAACAGCTGTTCTGTAGTGGGTTTGCTGTGACGTAGGGCAGAGCATCAGACAGGACCTGGGAAAAGTTCTGCCCCAGATTTGCCACAGATCTGCAGCGAGGTGAACTCGGGCTCATTTGTTCTGTATTTTTTAAATGGAGATAATGGTAGTGCCCTGCTTTGCAAAGGGCTTTGAGATCTTCTTAAGGAAAAAGAGACCAGAAAAGCAAGATGCTACTTGGCTAGAGGTGCTGAAAAGCAGAAATTTTAAAGAATTACTTTTGCAATGACTTTTTACACATTTCTTTTTGTATAAGGTATAATTATCTTGAGGGAGTCTTAATTACCACTGAGGCCTATAGTTTTGTGGGTGGCATTATCCACCTTTACATTACATTTATCAGCCTCATTTTCCAGTATGTAAACCAGCCACTAATGAGTCAGACCGGGAGGAACCTCGTCTGTGAGGCATCTGCTCCATAACTTTCCACTGCAAAGGTTCCAGCACTCTCCTTGAGGCATTTGGATCAGGCACTATCAAGGCTGGAGTAGACAATCCATGGATTTAATCCAGAATAATCCATCAGACTGGTTCCTTCTTATGATCCTTAAGGCAAGAATGGACCAACAAACCCAGAATAAGACTGTTGTTAAATATGACTCTGAACAGGCCCAAAGGGAATAAATTAATAAACACCAGTCTATTCCTGGGTGTAATCCAAGCCTTAGAAACCTGAGAAGAAAAGATTTCAAACATGATAGAGATTGGGCAAAAGTTTTTTTTCCGCTCGGTCTCTTAACCTCTGACTCCCAACTGCACAGGAGTTAGGTCGCACTTGATTATTCTCGGTGCCTCTAGAGAAAGAGGACACAACTCATAATCCTGTGGATTGTCACTGACAACACTTGGCTTATATTCAGCAACGTTGTGAGGGCCGAAGGCTCCTCTTGGAGCCAGAAGTATAACAGGATCTGCACAGATGTGTGGAAGCTGTGGATTGTGCTGTGGGTTGGTTTATTTGTCAGGCAAATAATGCATGTAGCATAGCTGTAACCTCACACCTAAAAATATGTTTCTGCAACAGTGCCTCAGGCTCTGCTCAAAGGCTGCTCCTATCTTCCCACTCAGTGCGGTTCTTCTGTCTTAATCCTTTTTTAATAAGTAGTGCTGCATATTTTGCAACACTTCCATTGTTTAAGAATGACTGCAACACCCAAACCCACTGTCTCCACTTGCCGGATATCTGGGTTGGAAAGTGAGGCTGTCAGGGAATGCTACCTGAACATACTCAGCACCCCTGCTTCCTCCCACAAAACCTATTTTTCTCATGTATAAAGATTATGGAAATGAGATGTGCCCTCATTTCTCAAACAGACTCTGAGCCCATAACCCCAACGTATTTTTCACTATTGAGATGGACAGGCCTCGAGTTTTTTTTTCAACATTTTGTTAATAATTCTAGTTTCTTCTCATCCTTATGTAAAAGGTCACATGCTATGGCTTTACATTTAGAGGAACGATAAGTGATTTTTTTTTCCTCAGGAAGGAATAAGAATAGCAAAAGGAGCACTAAACACACAGGCATATTTTGAAATTTTAAAAGAAATGGCTTAGAGGGCACGAAGCATCCCAATTAATAGTCGGCATTAATGAAGAAACAGACCCTGAGATAAATAAAACACCAAGAGATGCTTGCAGGACGGCAACGCTGAAGCACAAGTGTTAGACACTGATGCCATCTACTGGATACCCACTAAGCAGCTGTGGGATCTGACAGCCCTGCAGGCAAGTATACAAGAGGGAAGAAAGTCACCTTCTGAGAGCCCTAAAGACAGGATGTCCGCTGTGATCGCCACTGTGAAATCTCAGAGACAGTGAACTCTGCAGAAGCCTAAAGTGTTGCCAGGCACTTGGACAGCTGTGCCGAAACCTTTGGGTAGCTAGGTGAGAGAAAGAGGAGGAAGATGTACTTCTGAGATGGTATTTCTCCCTGTGTTTTTCATCTGTCTTGGTGGAAATGTGGAGCCTGCACTCTTAGTGATGCCACAAGGAACCGTATCTTGGGCTTTAACTGATATTGTTATACTCCAGTTTCTCTTTCAGAACTTTGAATAAATCATGCTTAGGGAACTCCAGCCATCACTTTAAACAGTTGCTTCTGGATCTTAAACCGAATGGCAGAAATTGAACCATGTTCCAGGAGTGTAAGTCTCACCTTTAAGCAAGAGCATCCAGGCACTCATGAATGTTACTTGTGCTGTGATGAATGTATCCAAAGACTGTAGAAACTGTGAGGACTGGGCATGAAAGTACTACCAAATTGTGCAGACAGTACCCACGGCTGCCTGTTACCAGCATTCAGCACTGGTCCACATATTTTCTAACCGCTGTAGGTTAGGTTCAGCATTGGTGGCGTGCCTAGGATCCCAAGGCAATCTTGACTTAGAAGACTGATGATAGGACATCAGTGTGGCCCTCACTATCGTAATCTGAGAAATATGGTACCAAATAAAAGCAAATGTGAAAAGAACTTACTTTAAATTAGTAAACTAGGTCCCCTGCAGGAGATGAAAGAGAATTATCTTTATTAAATTCCACTTAAACGTTGGCCCTCTTTCCCACCTAGGGAGCCCTGTTTATAAGCTTTCAGCTTTTACACCTAGCAGCACTCAGGCAAATTAATAATATTAATCCTGGATTTGACTCATCCACTCATGAAACTCCGTTTTCCACCTGATTAAACTGGTTTACAAGGAAGTCTCTTGCCTCAGCCATGGGGTAAGACTGTATCACAGTGGAGGGTGTCCGTTTTCTTGTGACGTTGTGCTTTTTCTGGCCAGAAAACATGCCTCTGGCACTGATGAACTGGACTTCAAGTTTGTTCGTTTCCCCTTGGAAAACAAAAATGCTTAAGGATTGTGCTAAGTAGGGTGCTTGTTCCTTGCCTGATTTAGGTGATCTCTGATGGCCCATATAGGAAAATCCTGAACATTATTCTCAGATCTACTTCTCTTTCAAGACTGTGTTCTACGGTGGCCACTCTCCGGCCTGGACCTAAGATATTTTTGCCTACCTAGGAACTTTCATCACCAGTGGGATTTCCTTGGAAGTGCTCTGCTGGAAAACCAAGTGATGATTTGATCTTGTGAAGAGCTGCCAAACATTATTAGCAGCTTTAACTTCCCTGCTGTGGAGTCATTCCTCATTCCGTCTGTGAGGAATCTGCAGGAGGATTGAGCTGCCCCATTTTTCCAGTTAATGGGGAACATTTGCTGCCAATCTCCAGGAGGAAACCACACTCATCTCAGTGGCTGGAACCACTGCAGGGAGTGTCATAAGGCAAAAGCCACAGCCCCCAAGTAACCAGCTTTCCAGCGTGTCAGCCCTGCGGCTCTCTGCAAGTACGAGCACAGGGCAGAGCTGAGGAGGAGGAGGCTTCTTGCAGGTCAGTCCCTAATCTACAGCCTTGCTTGTGCAAGGATCCAGAAGCCAGAGCTCTTAGGTTGGCCCAAGTAAGCGCGAAGGTTTTGTTGTTGATGACGGGATGACTCAGTCCTCTGCCACATGCTGCTTTTACAATTGGTTTGCTGAAACTCCAGATAACTAGGCTTTTATCAACTAAAAAGGGAAATGAGCTCAGTTATGCTGTGTAAATTCCGAGCAATTTATTTGAAGACTGAGGTTTTAAACCTGTGTAACTCTGATCGCTTCTGAGACTGCCAAATTCCCTTTTGACTTTCCTTCTCCTTTTCGGTTTAAAAATGTCCTGACGGCCACAGTCTTTCCGCTTCTTCAATGTAATTAGATTCGGGGCATCTTGTTGATGGATCACCCCTGTTCTCTGCATGTCTCTATCCTAAATGACTGCAGCGCAGATGAGCCCAAGAAAGAGAAGGCAAATTACTCTCCTTTTCCTCAGGGCCCTTTTGATGGTATAACACACTTGGCTTACGCAAAAGTTTGCATCATCAGATCTATCATCCAAAGGATCCCAGAATGCAGTGAGATCAAAGATTCAGATGGTTCCCTTGAAAATTAGTTTTATGTGCTAGACTCGGAGCTTGTATCTACAACAGGAAATGCCAGAGTTGGGAAGCAGATGTGTGTATAAGATAATACTGAAAAGTTAAACAGGAATTGACAAGACCTGCTGTCTGAGAAGGCCACTTTCAGAGTTTTACGGATTACAGTGGACTTTTTGCAGAATAATTGACTGTACTTGTTAATCATTATCATCTCACCTGCCTGAAAAAAAGAAAAGGTCTGAGGGGAGGAAAACCCAAAAGTCTGTATTAATTATTTATATCTTTGCAGGCACACAGTGCTGTGGTGGTCCACAAAACACCAGCGCATTATACAAAACATCAAATGGAATTAGAATGTCTTTAATCCCCTGGAGGCCTGATCTGGGCTGGGAAGTAACGGCAGGCCACAGCTGTGCCTTCCTCAAGGAAGCCAGGCACAAGGAGCAGCTTCAGGCTCTGCGAACAGCAGCTCCTCTGTGTGCAAAAGCAAGAGGCCACCCTGCTCCTTCCTTTTCTACCTTACGTTTGTGCTTCCAGTTTTTTGTAGGCTCGGCTCTATCCTTTCAGAGACAACTCTGCTGCAGCTCCGTGCCGTGACACCCCTCTGCTGGTACGTGGAGCATCGCTAGCTAGCGTGGTCCGAGAAGTGGCCGTGGCCGGTCTTTTCCCCCGCTGCAGGCAGTAACTCGGGCAGGGATTATTATTCACGTGGGCTGCGTGGCAAGCGCTTCGGCCGCTCCCTGCGTGCCCTGCTCCCACGAGCTGGGGGACTTTCAGGAGGGGAAGGTGCTGACCGCCTAGAGCCAGGCCGCTTTCCCCGAAGGAGGAAGGGATCACGCCCTCCTCGCCGGCTCACGCTCCCGGCAGCGCCGCGGGCCGCGGGCCGGGCC